GATAGTAAGTGGCTGTACAAGCCTGGGGGCAGTGCTGAATGTGGCTTCAGGGCTGCAGGGTAACGCTTTTACAGTGTTCTGGGAGCCACGTTGAGGAACCAGAAGGTCCAGTGAGGCAGATACTGCTGAGCATACCAATGAGAAGATTTTTAATAGACTCCCTCCTCAGGCTTTTAGGCCAGATATTTTTCTTACATTTTAAGCTGTTTCTTCTCCTCCTTATAGCACGGGCCAGATAAGAGCTAGTGCTGACTGAGCAGATTTGTCACACTTTCAGCATACCAATACCACTACTGTCAGAAAACCAGATTTATCAGTGTGCTCTGACCCCCACTGCTGAGCATCACTCACATAACACCAGAACGTCTTGCCATGCCAAAAAATTGCTGTGCTAAGTAATTGGAACCCTTATGTTTAACCAACAATAGTCACTACTCATATTATAATCAAAATCCATATGAATAGAAAATTAATCTTAGAAAAATGTTGCAAGAAACTATAGGATGTATTTACATTTTGACTAGCCCTGTCGTTGTATGTCGGCTCCACCTCACATTGAGCTCAAATCAGTCTCCAGGTCTCCATGGCCCTCACTTTATTCTCTTATCAAGTCTCTTGTGTTTGCTGTCAGACTTCTTTAGGGCCTAACCCAAGTCCTTCCTGGCCCAGGGCTTGTGAAGATGTGCTTATTTACGTGGATGGTTACCCATAGCTTGCTTTCACAGGTGTTATCCTTCCCTGCCCTGTTCTATCCATGTTCCCTGGTCCTTTCTTAAGTGAGACTGGCTGCCATTCAACTTTGAGGGGCTGCTTCTAGGAGGAAGAGGATGATTTGAGAGGCTAGATTGCGTTTACCTCATTTGCCAAATTACTTCTCAGTGTCCTGAAGAGAAACAGAAGCCCTTGTGTGGAACAGGGAGAGTTTTTGTGCTCCCTTGAAACCAGCCACTTGGCTCCCAGCCAAGCCGTCTGTGTACTACCATAGAGCAAGGTAGCAATTCAGGTTTAAGAGCAGGTATTTCAGGGATGTGTCTGTGCCTGTTAAATGCTTGTTGGGACATAGTGATAGGACATGGGACTCTTCATGGGTGTTAGAATCAGGAAATGGAACTGACTGAGGGCTTTTGTGATGGGAAGCAAGGGACAGCAAATAAAGCCAGAGGACTTTGCAATCACCAAATGGATTTTAGGGAGCCAGTGTTTAATAGGCAGCCTTTGTTTGACAAGGGTGAGTCTGGAGTATTGGAAAGAGATCAAAAGGATGGTGTGTGCGGGGAACACAGGAGCTGACTGCTGTTGTAGGTAAATCTCCATTCTTTGGGGGTCTTACTTTCCCCATTTGGGACCTGGTGTAGTAATACCTAACCAGCTCTTTTAGGTATTTGCGAATATTGAATGGAATCAACCGGGGACCTTCCCTTAGCAAACTGAGTGTGTTTGATCAAAAATGATGAAATTTTGGCCAGGCATGGTGGCTCACGCCTGTAATCCTAGCACTTTGGGAGGCCAAAGAGGGCAGATTGCTTGAGCTCAGGAGATCGAGACTGGGCAACATGGTGAAACCCCATCTCTACTAAAAATAAAAAAATTAGCCAGGCATGGTGATGTGCTCCTGTAGGTCCCAGCTACTTGGAGGACTGAGGCAGGAATGTCACTAAAACCCATGAGGTTGAAAATGCAATGAGCTGAGATCGTTCCACTGCACTCCAGCCTGGGTGACAAAGTGAGACACTGTCTAAAAAAAAAAAAAAAAAAATGGAAATTTTAAGACCTCAGTATTCGGAAGGCATTACTTTGGTTCATCTCTTTTCTCCTGGGCTTAAGTGATTCACCTGCCCCAGCCTCTGGAAGTGCTAGGATTACAGCTGTGAGCCACTACACCTGCCCCATGTCCCAGTCTTATAATTTATTGACTAAGTTATCTTGTACAAGGCAACCCCTCATTCACTTCTGAGCCATATTTCCTCATTCATAAAATGAAGGTGGATGGTGTTAATACCCCAGATGTGTAAGAAAGTGCTTTGTAAACTGCAAAGCCTTTTAGGGATAATGATGGATAGTGGTGCTAATGCTTTATTGTTATTCCCATTATGAGCAGAGTTTTTTTTTTTTTTTTCCTCCAGGTGGAAATGAGGCAGGTTTAGATTTAGAGTTTGCATTTTCAGATTCTCTGGCAAGTGGAGATGAGTTTCTAGAAAAAGCTGGACAGGGAGCAATGGCTCATACCTGTAATACCAGCACTTTCGGAGACCGAGGTGGGTGGATCACCTTAGGTCAGGAGATGGAGAGCAGCCTGGCTAATATGGTAAAACCCTGTCTCTACTAAAAATACAAAAATTAGCCAGGTATGGTGGCACATGCCTGTAATCCCACCTACTTGGGAGGCTGAGGCAGGAGAATCACTTGAGCCGAGGAGGCAGAGGTTGTAGTGAGCCAAGATCACGCCATTGCACTCCAGCCGGGGCAACAGAGCAAGACTCCATCTCAAAAGAAAAAAGAAAAAGCTAGGTGTAAATAAAGCCTAACTCTTGAACATGGTACAAGGAGTTTTAAAACAGGCGTTAAGAAGGCCTGCTTCTTGTCCTTATCTTAGATGCTCAGCCTTAACTCTGCCTTTTTGGGAAGACTAGTCTGCTGGCTGCCAGAGGAAGTCATAGAATTCCACAGGCTTGCCTGGGACCAGGACCAGGGAATTCAGGGGCTGGCTGTGGTTGGGAAGGGTGATGGTATGGTGGCACAGTGCATAGTTGCAGGACTAGGGAATAGCCTTGCCTCATGGCCTGCTTCTCATTTGGCTTGTTAGGGTTCAGACTGCTCTAACCCTCACTGCCCAGGTTACCCCAGACACCTGAAGATGGGAGGCTCTGACCAGGCATTAGGGTGGATTAAAAAAACAAAAAAAAAACAAAAAACTTTGTAGGCCTAGAGAGTTTTTCTTTTTTAACCTTCATGCTATGCTGACTTAGACATAGTAATTTCTAGGGAGGCTTAGTGTTCAATACGGAGATGGGGCTACTATTTTAACACTACCAAACTGAGGTGATCTATTGACTCTGAAAGCATTTTAACCGTCTGTTTTAGGGACCTTAAAAAAATGACCATGCCCTTTGATTTGGTAATTTTTCCTTTGAGACTTTAACCTAAGGAAAAATTTGAATTGCAAAATTCAAATTACACTGAAAGAGATATAGATTATAATGGTGGAGGAGACACCTAAAATATCTAGCAGTAGAAGAGTATAAATCTTTCTAGAATGTCAATACCATGGGATAAGCACTTTTTTTGTTTACCTTTTATCCCCAGTACCTAAAGGAGCGCCTAGCACATGGGTGCCGAGTAGACAATTTTTTGAGTGGGTATATGAAAAAATTTTTTTTGCATTTGGCCAGGCATAAACCCAACACTTTGGGAGACAAGGCTAGTGTGTCACTTGAGCCTAGGGTTGAGACCAGCCTATGCAACATAGTGAGATCTCATCTCTACAAAAAAACCAAAAAATTAGCTGTGCATGGTGGCATGTAGCTGTAGTCCCAGCCACTCAGGAGGCTGAGGTGGGAGGATTACTTGAACCCAGGAGTTTGAGCCTGTAGCAAGCCATGATCACCCCACTGCACTCCCACCTGGGCAACAGAGCAGAACCCTGTCAAAAAAATTTTTTTTAAATATTCATATAATAAGACTATTATTCCGCTATTTCAAATAAAGGAGTCTTAATGATATAGGACTTTTTCTATGTTAATAGGATGTGAAAAAGCAGGACATAGATTTTTATATACGGTGAACTCAGTCTCAGTAGCCCGAAGTGATTCTTTTTAAGTAGAAGAAAACTTAAAACTTGGAAGGAGGAAATACCCAGGGATATCTCCACATAGTGAGGTCATGGGTGACATTTTACTTTCTACATTTTAAAAAATGTCTGCAGGCCAGCACGGTGGCTCATGCCTATAATCCCAGCACTTTGGGAGGCCGAGGTGGGTGGATCACTTGAGGTCAGGGGTTTGAGGCCAGCCTGGCCAACATGGGGAAACCTGTCTCTACTAAAAATACAAAAATTAGCCAGGTGTGGTTGTATGTACCTGTAATCTCAGCTACTTGGGAGGCTGAGGCAAGAGAATCGCCTGAACCCAGAAGGCGGAGGTTGTTATGAGCTGAGATCACACTACTACACTCCAGCCTGGGTAACAGAGTGAGACTCTGTCTTTAAAAAAAAAAAAAGGCTACAATTACTATGATTTTGAAATAAATTTAAATACATCATATTTTGTTTGAAAAAGAAGAGGGTTAGTTTAGTTTATTTGTGGAGCAAAGCAGCAGTCTCTAGAGCCAGCTCCTCCTCCCTTTCAAAGAACCAAGCCGCCTTTGTCGTCGCACAAAACACCTACACGCTTTGTTTGTGTCTGTCAGCTTGGTGTGGAAGCTGATCCTTCCTAACTTCAAAAGGGTGATAGAAACTCCACTGTGCTGAAATTGTGCCGGTCATGTTGCAGAGACATGCCCATCCATTTATATCCCATCACTGAAGTGAAGACATTTTGTAGTAGGCAGAAGAATTTTCAGAAGATAGATTTTTTTGGGTGGGTGGTTAATTCTTAGAATTCTTTCACTTGGTTCATGGTTTTTGGAAACTGTCGGAAGTGTCATCTGCTTTCCTTCATTCTTGTTTTAGCACAAACTGTCTTAAAGTGTCTTTTTGTTCAGCGTCTCAGTTTGCTGGTGTAAGTACTTGATGGAGCGTCTCTCCAAGATGCAGTATTCTCTTGGAGCCAAGGCTTCCTTAGAAGTCTCCCTGTCTCGTAGGTGGGCTCTGGCACCTGAGTTGGAAATTCTTGGGGTTTTTTTTTTAGTGTAGCAGGGTTCGGACGGACTAAGTGTGTCTGAGAGGCCCATGTTTCTCCCCTGTCTTTGATGACCAGGGTCACCAGACATTGCTGCCTGACCTGTGGTATCTGTAATCCTTCCATTCACACGACTTCTCATCCATCATTTCTCTTTCTCTTTAGCCATAACCAGCAGACCACAGCGTTCAGGCATCCTGTGACGGGGCAGTTTTCTCCAGAAAATAGTGAATTCATTCTTCAAGAAGAGTAAGTATTTTTATGTGCTCTCCTTATCTGGGCAGAGTATGGGAGACTAAAGGCATTTGCTGAAAACAAAACTTGCCTGGATTGTTTTCTCTCTGAGACAGAGGGGCTTGGAGTGAGTGGATTGGCTGATTCAAAGAGGAATATGAGAAGAATTTTATTTTTCAATGTCCAGACTTCTCTCAGCGACAAGAGATGGAAAAGGAGAGATGGTACAGGGATGTGCTGTGATGGGTATTGTCAGAGCTTCTTAAAAGTTCCTTTTCCCCTGAATGAACCCTTTCTCCTGATACATCTTCTGGCACGTTAGTTCTGTTCAGAGAGGACCCACTCATCTGGGTGAAAATATAGCTGGCACACATCTGTAGTACCAGATACTTGGGAGACTGAGTTGGGAGGATGAACTTGAGCCCAGGGGTTCGAGTCTAATAAGACCCCATATCTTTTTTTTCTTCCTTTTGTTTTTTAAAGACAGGGTCTTGCTTTGTCACCCAGGCTGGTGTGCCGTGGCATGATATTGGCTCCTTGCAGCCTTGACCACCCTGGGTTCAAGCAATCCTCCTGCCTCAGCCACCCAAGTTGCTGGGACTACAGGAATGTACCACCATACCCAGCTGATTTTTGTATTTTTTGTAGAGATGGGTTTTGCCATGTTGCCCAAGTTGGTCTCAAACTCCTGGGCTGAAACAACCCTCCTGCCTTGGCCTCCTAAAGTGCTGGGATTACAGGCGTGAGCCACCACATCCTGCCCTGGACCCCATCTCTTAAAAAATGTGTGTATATAGTGTGCGTGGGGAGAGGAGTGGATAGGTGGAGAGAGGGAGTGTGTAGCCTCAGACTGAGCTAAACCAGCCTCCCAGGGAAGCTTCAAATAAAAGTCCAAAGTCCAAAGAGGAGAGCTGGTAATCCCCATTGTCCCTGGACATTCCGAGTTCTTTCTGTTCTCTTTTCCTAAAATGGGAAGTTTCCTGCTCCTCAGCTTGGTTTCCGCAGGGCTCTCAGGGTGCTCACGGGTGGATTCTAACACCCAGGGCTTATCTACTTAAAATACACGTACAGCCCAAGCAGGATGTGTTTTCCCAAAAAAGGAAGGCAAGAAATGTGCACAGGTGGCTTTGCCCCCTTCCGTTCATTCGAGACAGTTCTATTTGAAGAAAACATTTGTCTTTCAGAAGACAACAGGTAGATGTTAGCTTTAAAGGTTTTTTTCTTCTTCGAATCATTTTTCCTCTGTTTAGTCACTTAGATCAAATATGATCTTAAAATAAACTCTCAGTATTTATATTTTACAGCATTTCCCTCCCTCAGTACTTCCACCTTTAAACTTTTTATTATGGAAAGAAAATTAACACAGACAAAAGAGAGAGATATGGCCAATTCAGTATTCTCACTGCCCATCTTCAACAATTTCCAAAACATGGCTAATTTTATTTCATCTATCCCCTCTCCCTCATCGCCTAGATTATTTTAAAGCAAATTCCAAACATATCATTTCATCTCTATAGTGTTTTCAGCTTAGAATCATTATCCCACAGTACGTTTAAAGCTAGAAAGCTATAATTATGGTGAAACTGACATCCTTGCACATTTGCTCTGTGATGGAGGCTTTACATGCATATCTCATTTAATAGGATAATCCTGAGAGAGAGAGTGTCATTGCCATTTTAGAGATGAAGATGCTGAGTCCCAAAGAAGTGCCCAGAGACACACAGCTAGGAGAGCCAAGATGCTGTCCCAGGTTAGCCAGGCTTCAAGGCCTGTGCTGCCTTTGCGTGGTGCTCCCTTCATCAAGTCCAACTCCTATCATAGTCAGAGGCCACTTCCTAAATTATTTTTATGCTGGCGGTCCATGGGAGATGACAGTCAGGGGCTGGGATTGGGAGTCTTGACTTTGGAAGCATTAATACTAGTAGAGAGAGTGAGTGGAAGGTAAAGATTGTCTTGTCTCCTAGATTGAGAAAGAACTCCTGTTTGAAGAGAGCCAGGATGTGGATTCCCCAAATTCCAGCTCAGAATGAATTTGTTTATAGAATCCTGAGCTCTTGGGAGGTTACTGGGTTCAGTCCTCAGGCATCCCAGAGACACGGGTGCTTGTCGTTATTAAGTCTGGATGGAGAATCCATTAGAACCTTTAGCTTGGGAAGTTACCAACTTCCATAAGAGCTGCAAGAAAATGCAGACCTACCATTACAAAACACTTGTCACACACAATTCCTTTTCCTCTCATTCTTAACAGAAAACTTTGTCTCCTGACCATTCCTCAGAAGGTAGCCTCTTTCCTTCTACCAAAACATCTCTGCAGTTAATTTCAATTCCATCCAGCGTCCAAGGAAAAGATGCACCGTCTTTTCAAGGCTTACTTTTTCCCTCTAGATCTCATCTCCTGGCTGTCATGGGGACCTGCTTGTCTCAGGTGGTGGGTGGCACTGATTGGCCACACATTACTTGCAGCAGGCAGAATACACTGTAGGCATTCAGAAAGGAAGATTCCTATGGACTGACCGGATGATTCCTGCATTTATTAAATACTGAGTGTGTGCCTACATTGTGTCTGGGGCTGTGCTGGACTCTATAGGTACAGCAGCAAGCAACACAGATGTGATCCTGGTGGTGAGGAGCTTACCGTTGAGTAGGGAAGATGCCTGCTTTTATTAGTGTGAATAGATACATCTCCTCACTGTTGGCAGGTGGGATTCACCTGAGCTGCTCGGAATAATGTGTGCATGCCCCTCAAAGGATAGTTTCTCATTTTACAGATTAGAGGCATGGAGAAGAGAAATAATGTGAAAGCTATGATCTGATGTTTCCAGAGGACATGAATTCTGAGTGTTCTAATTCCTGTGTCAGTCATCCAGAATCAGTCAGGATAGGCTCGGGTCTGCTGTGATAATAAGAGATCACAAATGTGAAAAGTGTTCATGATAGAGGAAACATAGGGTTCAATGGGGGTTGATAAATGGGGACTCCAACCTGGCTTAGGGCCACAGAAGGCCTCCTCATCTGGGAAGGGATGTAGTTTAAATTGAGATCTGTCTAGTCAAGATGAACAACCTGGGCAAAGACCTAGAGAGGAAAGGGGGCAGAGCATGGGGGAATCTACACCAGTTGAGGGAAAGTGGAAAATGAGCACTGGATGGATTCTGGAGGTACTTGGAAAGTAAATGAACAGGATTTGTTGATTGATTGACTGTGATAGGGATGAAAGAGGGGAAAGGCTTTCTTGTAGCCTCTGGCCCTAAACTGGAGGAAGAGGGAAGATTTACATAAGGGAAGATAAGTGTATGCATGTGCATGTGTGTAGGTTTCGTTCACAGCTGAGGGGAGTGTGACCTTGGTGGGGTCAAAGGGTAAAAAGTCTGACTTGCTGTAGAGGTTTGCGAAGGGGAGTGTGTAGATAAGGTTGAAGGGGGGTTGCAGCCAATTACCTAAATTGCTTCCTCCTAAATGAAATATACTTAACATTTACCTCCTAGGGAAGCTCTGGAGGGTGAGTGAGGCGTGATTTCTCCTCACTGAAAGTTTTTTTTTTTAATTATGCAAATGAATGAGATTCTCGTTTTGTTTCCTTAGAGGAGCTTAATTTTATTGTGTAGTGTGTTATATCTCAGACTAATGTCTCTAGTAGAAAAAGGAAAACTGGCTCCTTTCTTTTTCTTCTCCAAAGAGAATCTGCTAAGGCCAAGCACTGGAAGTTGTAACCACATTGATTCCTCTTGACACAGCCTCCATCCCAGTTTCCTGTAGTGAATTCTTCTGGAGCAGTGGTTCTCAAAGTGTGGTCTCTGAATCAGTATCACCTGAGAAGGTGAAGGAAATGCAAATTCTTGGCCCCACCCCAGACCTACTGAATCAGAGACTCTAGAGGTAGGGCCCAGCAATCTGTGTTTTCACAAGACTTCCAGGTGATTCTGATGCAGGTAAAAATTTGAGAGCCACTGATTTAGGCAATTTGCTCTTTTCATACCTTCTAAATGACTCCCAAGTTTTCTCTTCACCTCCAGGTGTCTTCCCACTTCACCTCCCAAGTGTCCATCCATCATTCTCAGGGCTACAGTGACAATCTTAGGTAGATTTTTGTCATATAATCTTGAGTTTTGTTCTCTGTAGGAATAAGAGAAAAAGAATTTTTTAAAAATCCATCTCCATGGTGACTTCTCCTAGGAGATTATTGGTGTGAACAGATACAGCTCCCCATTGTTGGCAAGTAGGACTTGCCTGAGCTGCTTGGAATAACCCATGCGCACACGTCCAAGAGATGGTTTCTCATTTTACAGGTCAGAGGCATAAAGAAGAGAAATAATGTGAAAGCTGTGACCTGATGGGGCCAGAGGACATGAGCTCTGAGTGTTCTAGTTCCTGTGTCAGCCATACAGAATCAGGCGAGATTGGCTAGGGTCTGCTGTGGTAACAACAACAAACAAAGGCTAGTTTCTCACATTCTTTTCATGTCCATCGTAGGTCACCTGATGGACTCTGCTGTCTTTTTTTTTTTTTTTTTCGAGGCAGAGTTTCACTCTTGTCACCCAGGGTGGAGTGCAATGGTGCAATCTTGGCTCACTGCAACCTCTGCTTCCTGGTTTCAGGCAAGTCTCCTGCCTCAGCCTCACAAGTAGCTGGGATTACAGGTGCTCGCTACGATACCCAGCTAATTTTTGTATTTTTAGTAGAGACTGGTTTCACCATGTTGGCCAGGATGGTCTCCTGACCTCAGGTGATCCACTCTCCTTGGCCTCCCAAAGTGCTGGGATTACAGACATAAGCCACTGCGCCTGGCCTGCTCTGCCCTCTTTACTGAGGACAGCTTCATTTCTGTAAGAGAACTTGTCAGTTGGGCACTGGCTCTTGCACTCACATTTCTTCAGCTATAAAGCAAATCACAGGACCACTTCAAACTTCAAAGGAGGCAGGGAAGCACATATTTATTATGTACCTGGGAAGAGAATCAGAAGTATTTGTTGGACAGCACTAATTGTTACCCTTAATAAACCACAATCCAGATTTGT